CGATGAATGAACTTGACGGGGGGGGGGGGGAGCATTATCAGAGCAGAAACAAAATCGATAAGGTTAACAATAATTTCCGAATGAAAAAGCAATTGTCGACTGAGATGTATGTCAGTCATTAGAATCGTAATAGAATTATAAACAAATAATGTAATCTAGACAGCGGCACTAAGGGTTTCCTGTAAATTTACCTGCTACGAGTTCCTGCGTAGTCCAGGCATAGAATTAAGGTAAAATTAAGGAGAAAGAGTATTAGCAATAAGCCGCTCCCTGTTATCTCTGCTACGTAAGAATTAAGAGGGGCACGTGGGCGCGTGCGTCCGGCAAGTGCAAGCAAGTCTATCCCTACGGATGTCGCACTTCTAGTCGGGAAAACTAGGGGCGTGGGCTCACCAAGTGCCGATGCGCCGAGGGGATCGGGGTGGGAGGGTGGGAGGGAGAAAGACAATAACTAGGTGAGCGGCATTAGCCGCCTTTCGGGAAAAAGGGTTAGATGGGACGATGGGGGTAGGCTCGCGGCGGCAGCCGCGAAGTAACCGAGAAACGTCGCCAGGTTTAACGGGGGCAACGCGTGCGCGTCCGAAGCCGAGTCCGGGCGCTTTCGCCATTTGTAATTTATGGGGACTTTACGCAAATTCGCGAGCTCTCGCCGGGGTGGAAAACTTAAAGGCTTACGAAGCCCATAAATCAGCGACGGTGAAGGGGACAATGGCCGAGCTTTGAAATATTACAGAGGTGAAGGGCTTCAAAGGGTTAAGAGGTGGCAGCCGATTCCCCTTTCCCGCCTACGCCCTGCCAACTGCGCGATGCGACTTACGAGATCGCGATCCCGGCCAGCAGGGACATCCAGCCGAAGGATTTAGTGTGCCAAGGTAAGGTAACTGGATTTTCGCAAGATTTGCTCCTTAATTCTCTGGGTCCTGGCGCGTCCCTTGCCTCTTCGCCGCAGGACGACCTCGGATTAATTTCGGCCTCCTCCATTCGCTGCGCTTACAGTCGGTGCACGACTCTAGAGCTTGGTGGGCCCTCACCGAGAAGTCGGATCCTTTAGTCAATCGATCGATGGGAGGCTGCGCGATTTCGTTCGGGCGGTTTTTGTCCCGCGCACGAACCGCTTAACCCTCGCGTCGGTCCAAGCATTAACCGCATAAATTTATTTTTGCCGATATTTGCACGCGCAATATGTCTTGCCTGGAATTTATCCGTACGAGAATAAAATACTTTTTACAAGAGTTGCGCGCTTTGATTTTCGAACTATTAACTCCAAAAGTTGTCCTTCCACTAATGAATCCATTTAGATAATGTCATTCCTCCACATTAACTTGCTTTCATACACAAAATTTCAACATTATTCTATTGCACGTCGGCACCTGTATCTATATTAACATAAATAACGCTGTTCGTATTATCTCTCTCTCTCTCTCTCTCTCACGATAGCTAGTGTATCTTATAAATATTTACTTACCTATCAAAACATTTAACATAAATTACATAATAAATGACGGGAATTTCTATTCTCTTAGTACTATTCTTGTCGCAATAACATTTCATTTAGTGAAATTTGCCATGTGTAAACACAATCTGCAAATTTGCCTAATATTCTATTAATCGGCAAAATTTAGTCTATGACTATTAAAAACAGAGCATTTAACTTGTTTGAACTTTATTTACAAGTCATATTTCAGTGATATAAAATTTTCAAAGTCCTTTATAATTTTATTTTCAAAAGTTACCTTTAATCTTACCTTTAGATACTATTGTTACACATTGCAAACAGCAAGTTTCATACTTTCATATATTTCATTTTATATATTTTAAATTATCATATTAGTAATACGAATGAATCAATTCCAAATATTTCAGACAGATTTCATAATTGTGTGACATAATCATTGTGACAAATAGATAATAAGATGTTTACATTCTGTAATTCTTTTCGATGATAATTTTTCATCTCGTACTATAGAAATCAAGTTATAACTTTTTAGATATAGAGCACCATTATCAATGTCAGACACAATGATCGTCTCACGCTAGACAGTTAAAAAACATTAAAATTTAAAACATCGTTTCGCAATAATTTGGCTTGTAGTCATATAATACTAGACGGCTCTCCCATTCCGTTAAATTTGTTTTCCATTTAAAGGAATAGGCCCCGGCAAATGTAAGATTGTAACGGTATACATTTTCTAGGAATGAGATAAATTTCAGAGTAAATGATATGGCCAGCTTTTTTAAAAAGCTTTTGTATTGGCTTTATCATTGGGCATAATTATATATACTTTCCATTATTATGTAATGAAGAATTTCTTACGTTAATCCACATAAGCAATTATTTCGAATGCACTGGTAATTAACAAATACAAGTTGTAAGGGAAAATTAGCATATTCAGTATCCATTTTATTGAAAGAATAGGAAAATTACGTATATATTAAATGGAATGAATAATAAACATTATACTCGTCTTTTAATTCTTAGAAAACGGTTTAAAGCAGATTTATTTGGGGGAAATAGTTCATTACATCATTTGTGATTTAATTTTTGATTTATTAAACTCTTCACAGTAAAGCGTTTCCGCAGGTAACACGTTCATACAAACTGCCACAGGTTTGTACACAAATTTATATTCATACACAGTACAGTGGCGTTTGACATTTATTGGTTATTTTGAGAATAGCAAAAACAAAGTTATTCTTTTTATGATGACAGTACAAGATGTAAATAAACAATGTTATCGTGTTATAGTTCCCGTAAGCGTATGTAATCCATAGTTCTCTGTTTCTTTAAGAGACGTTAGTTCTTTTTAGAATATTGCAAAACTTTGTTCTTATTAGAGAAATTTTTAAATACTCTATAAATTTTTTAACGACGCATATTGCTTGAAATTTAATCATTTTATCATAGAGGCACGATTATACGTACACACACACACACACACGCACGCACACGCACACACGCACACATACACACATATATATATTTCGTTTGTAATTATTTATTATGTTTACTAATTATATTAATTATTGTTTGCAGAAAATATTTTAACGAACTTTTGGGACAATCTCACCTTATCTTATTATTATTATTATTATTGTTGTTGTTGTTATTATTATTATTATTATTATTATTATTATTATTAATATTAATATTATTATTAGGTATCCGAAAAATCCGATGTTAATTGAGAAATAGCCATTTTAATCTAGTCCTTTGTGAAATCAATTTTCGTCTGAAATAAATTCATTAATATTACATTCGTTTATGTATTAGCTTTAACCAATAAATTATTAAATAAAATAAAATAAAAAAATATAGGCAAATACATTAAATACGTTTCTTTGAGAATAATTTCTAATTTATATTTTCGATATTTTGTAAGGCATTTATATTCTTATAACATTGGTGATTTGTGGAATTTATTTGACTGTTATTTTGATTGCTGTCATGTTTTTACAAATTTATAAACAGATGTGTGCATGCGTGCATGCGTGCGCGTCTGTGTGCGTACGGATTTATTATTATTGTCAAAATCAATTCATAGACCAGGTATAGAAAAGGAATGGCCAGTCGAATAATAACGTAATAAACGCTAATCTTGCAAAAAATAAAATTATATAATAATCATGAGAATGTTGCAATCGAAGATAATCGAACCGTCTAGGTATTCGATAATCCCTATATTCGTTCTATTCATACAGAAACAATGATTGGTCGCAGAGATTCTTTGTAATTTAGTACTCAAAAGGTGTAAACATTTGGATGAAAGTCTCTAATTCCTAAATTTGAAATGTGACGGATACAATACTTTCGGCTTGCCGTACATCTTCTCTCTTCCACTAGCTTCTCCTAGCTCTCTTTGGCTGTCAAACGGGCGGTCACTTCGATATGAACTGTCAAATTCCCCCTCCCCGAGTCCGAGTCTTAAGCAGCGTTTTGAAGGATTCTCAGTAGAACCGTACATGAGGGTTGCCGAGGTATATAAGTGGAGGAGACACCCCCTTCCATCGCTAAACGATTTTTGGACGACGAGTCAGGCACTGCATAGTAGAAGCTAGAACAGCCTGTCCAGTAAGAAGTTTTACGCGTTCGATGAACATTGTTCGTCATTCTTGGAAGTTTTTCGCCGATTATTTCGCCAAAGGAACAGTCAAATATAATATTAGTGTTGTGTTTCCTATGAATTTCTATCGTGATCAAGTCTAAAAGTAAGACATATGTTCATAACTTATTTTTTTTTTCAAATTATCAAGAATTTTTATACACCTCCATTTTTTTTTCCTTTTTTTCTTCTTTTTTTTCTTTTTGGCCAATTTCAAGATTTATCTTTATATATATATATATATATATATATATTTTGTACTTCATATATATATATGAAGTACAAAATGTTTGTCTATTGAAGATACAAAAGCCTTTTCTATCAAATTAACATTTACATTTTTATTTATAATTTTCAAAATATTCTTTCAATTATTAAATTTGCATTTACCATTTGGATACAATCTTTTGTCGATACATTGGAAACAGTACAAATTCAAATAATTTAATTATTTTCAAATGCTACATTCATTCTTTAACAAACTTTAATAAACGTAACACTGCTTTTTAATACCATTAATGGATTATTAAACAATGATTGAATTTTCATGCGAGTAAAGTATACAAGCAAAATATTTATCATCTAAACTTTTATTTTTTCATTGAAAAGACAACAGCGAATGGTTTTTGCATTATCAATTAATTAGGCAGTCCATTTAGTCTAAATTTGTCATAAAATTTTCAATTGGATACAAATAACTTCCTTAAGCCAACAAATAATAATAATTGTAATACTAAGATTAAAATAAATTCATTAAATTGTAACATTAGGGTATTATTGTTATAAATGCGATTTAATAAAGTTTTTATATATAGCATTACATTTTAAATAGAAAGTAGTATAAAGTTGTTTAAGCATTTACTAGAAATTATTTCTTTGATGAAATATAATCGCCTTTTATGTCGTAAGTATGTAATTGAAAAGCAAACCAAACAATTCTTTATATTTTTAGAGTTAATCAAAGTGAAGTCGTTGAAATGACAAAGTCATTTAAGAAGATATCGATGGAGTCTCTTCACGGGCTTGATTACACGAACACGATCGTTAAAAAACCGTTTTCTGAAGGCACTGAAACCCCTGTACTCGATCTTTCCTGCAAGAAGCTCGTATCACCTAGTCTCACGACAAATTACGTAAAGGAATCTATGGTGTCACCTCTTCGAGAAACGATTTACCTGGAAAGCCATCAAGAAACAAATAACAATGACAATAAACACGTTAACAATTATCAACATCATCGGTCGGTCGAAGAACAAGATGTAAAGCAGAGCCAACAAAATCAAACTCACCAATATCACCAAGAAGAGACGTCCAGCTTCTCATCATCCAACCATGAAAGGAAAAGTCCGTTTGAAAGTCGTACTTACGTGATGACACCACCATCCGAATCAGATTCACCAAAGAAAACCAAGTTTCATCCAATTTTCGAGCATACAAATCTTTCGGGAGGCGAGACTCGCGTTAATCCACCATACCCAATACTTCCCGTAAATCTTCCATCGCCAATGTCGTTAAGTGTACCATCGGTTCTCCCAGCATTATTGTCCCAAAGCAACTCACCAGTAGTGTCACAAATCCAAACGCCTACGTCTTCGACTACGCATGAAGCATCGCCGCAGACAAACAGTGCTCCCGACGATAGTAAAAAGGCACCGCGACCGTTTAAGGCATACCCAAAAGATCCACTTTCAATTACTTTAGGTCCAGACATGATGTTTGATCAGGAATTGAAAAAGGCATACTCAGACTTTCGAAATAGGATGCTCGATTCAGTAAAAAGGACTAACGAAGGTACAAATATTAAGATGCGTCGAATTAGTAAGAGTCCCATGTTGCCTACAAGTACTGTCGATGAAAAAGATGCAGCATATTGGGAGCGGAGAAGAAAAAATAACGAGGCTGCTAAAAGATCAAGGGATGCGAGGAGAGCAAAGGAAGATGAAATTGCTATTAGAGCTGCATTCCTTGAACAAGAATATATTCGATTAAAGTATGAAAATGCTGTTTTAAAAGATGAGAACACAAAGATAAAATGTATGTTATATGGTTGCTAGTATTTAAAGGCTACAGCTAAGGAATAATCGAATAACAATAAGATTTGTTAATAAATTGTATTATATAAAAAAATATTAATGGTAAATGTATAACAATAGTAGACATAATTTATAAATGTGATGTACTAAGCTGTAAATAATTAAATTATTTTTTATAAGAATAAAATTACCTTTTATGTAATATGTATACATTTTGAGCTTTTATCTCTTCGCTTAAATATAAAACAATTTATTAATTAAAGATTTGGTAGTGATTCACTCAGTTCCATTATACTTTCTGTTTCAAGAACATTCTTTTCTAGCTTCTGGTTTTGTGTCAATAGTTTAGCATACGATTTCTGTTGCACTTGTCTAGGAATAAACATTGTTGTAGATTTTAACGATACACTTGGTGTAGAGCTTGAATCATTTGTCTTAATATCCACCGGCCCTTTGGCATCCAAACATTGTTTTCCAAAAGCTTTAGATTTTGCATTTTTTCCGAAATGTATTTTTTTCAAATTTTTCTTCTTAGGAGTTACTTTTTCATCTACTTCCATCGCCGAATCACCTTTACCAGTCTCTTTTTTATATATAAATTCATCAAATCGATAGTTTTTTGGATATTTATGAACTTCTCTGCAGTGTTGCGTACGCTCTTGAGGTTTCATAAATTTTACATTGCATTCCGAAACATAACAACGATACTGAAAAAAATCGTTTAGATTATTTTTTGTAATTCATCTAGAAATGATTACAGGAAATATAATAACCTGCAAAAGAAATAAACTGTATTTACCATTGGCTGTTTTTCAGCTTGTAATTTAAAGAAATTATCGTGCATTTCTTGTATGTGCATTTCTAAGAGTTTTGCAGTTGGCTTCCACTTCTTGCATTGAAAACATACAAAATGGTGAGTATTATGATAATGTAATTCATAATCAAGCAGATTCTCAAAAGTAGCGTCACATGCATTGCACAGGAATTCTTTCATACTGTAAAACAAAAGTGTAACATTTTTAGGTTATTTTTATGACAGAAAATCAGAATCATTTGTAATTGCTTAAGCAAGTTTTACAATTTATGACAAAGTTCTTCTTCATCTTCGGCAATCACACCTTTGCGTTCGAACACTTTACAGGTCTTATAAGAGTTATCAAAAAATGGATCTTTCATAGGTCTCTGACCCACTCCTATCTTCTTGAGAAAATTTTCTATATCCTCCATTATCAATATTTTACCTTCTAATATTCTACTTATTATTACTTATATTGTTCTATTCTTATCATTTACAAACATTCTTTCGGTTCATTGAAAAACTAAGCTACAATAATACGTAAAAACTCTCCATTATTCTTTCTTTTAACAGATTCTTCGATATTTACATTTTTAACAACGAACGCACAGGCTGACATCGTATGTGGACGCACGACGCTTCGTTTTAGTTAAGAATTTTTACACCAGATGTCGCGAAGTTTGTATTACTTGGAAAAGATTCAAATGTGTTCCGACGCATTCGGTTATTTTATCATCAAGCAATTTGTCAAAAAATAACGCAAATATATTCGGTAAAGTTGAAAGAGAAAGAAAAACAAAAGGACGCAAATTAATATTGATATTTATTAGTTTATATTTATCGTAATAATTTTTGTAATTTATTCTTAATATAATCGTATACAAGAATTTTTTAATTTATTCACATAGCACCGCAACGACTTTACAGCAACACAAGTCTGCACAATGGTCTCGACGACGAATTGGCTAGTAAGATTGTCTCCCATTATTTATTTCAAGCAATTAATACGCATTACTCCTATTTGCTCTTCCTGTAACGAGAAAATGGAGTTACATTTTCTATCTCGCAATAATAATATGTTATTAAAATTTAATATAAATATAATAATCGATAACAATTAATGTAGAGCTTAAGTTATTTATTTGTAATGCAATTGTGCACGTTTTCATTAAATATTGGTTAATTACAAAGATTTTAAAGATTTTATCCATATAGATTAATATCGTTAATATTTTAATGTCATTAACTTCATAATTAACAATGACAATTGCGCGCGCGCGCGCGCGCGCGCGTGTGTGTGTGTGTTTACATGAGTGCTAAATATATATAGTGAAAGATCTTAAATATAAGTGCTTATTATAACATATGTTTTGTTTATTTCGATAAGAGACACCCGCATAATTTGACAATTTATCTGAAATAAAAATCAAAAGTGTATATTATATTTACAGGACTGTTTAATCGTGTTGTTGTAAATGTACATATTTCAAATTGATAGAAAACTGGTCTTAGTAATACTAAATAATTTAAAATATGACTTGGATTTAAAATGTGTAACATTAAAATTTGCATTTATAAATGTGTGGAATCAGTGAAATAAATACCCATAAAAATGCAGAGTTCGAATTATCTTCACAAATTACTGGATAACCGGAGGACTTGCGTGGAAGCTGTAGGATAAAGCCGCTTGAGATTTGATACTTTCACGGATTCTATTCTATTTCTATACTCCTTAATTTTTACATTTTCCGCCTCATTAAGTGGCTCATCTGTAAATTCATCGACTCTTTCGTTGTAATAATATGGCGTGGGTTCCGGTATTATCAGAATACCATCCTTTTCTACGTAGTTAGACGACTCCAAATTTGAACTGCTCTTGTTGTTTACAGGCGGGTAATTGTCATAATTTTTTTTCGTCTGAACTTTCACCACCTTTTGATTTTTTTGATTTCCTACGCTTTCAGGACGATGCCGGTTTTTCCACTCTTGGGGAGGTATTTTCGTTATGTAGCTTCCTTCTGGATGCGGCGTAAGAGTTTCCCCTGTCTGCGCAGGATTCGTCGGCGTTCCAGTTCCGTTCTCATAATTTACGGATCTCTCCATATCCGATTGTCTTTGCCTTCCTTGTTCGAAGTCATCTTTGGCTGATGGCGGAGGAAGAGTTGAGTCGTATCTGCTTAAATAGAACAAGGCCAGTTTAGAGAGGCGGAAATTAGCAGGTTATAGTTTAACTTTTACTTTTTTAGAATGGACGACTATAATTTACTTTACACGTATATTATTTTAGCTTCCGATTAATAATCACAATGAATTTTATTTCAGAAATTATAGGAGCAATTCGAAATGGTGAATGTTCACAACGTAATTCGAATAGGAAAAAAGTTAAAATTTTACATGGGGTAATTATCGTATAATGCAATAATGTATAAACTATTGCATAGGTTTTTATTACATGTAAGTATTATAATAATTTTTAATATTGCTTATACACTATTGTAATTTTAAAATCTAACAATTTTATTCGTTTGATAACAATTTATAATTAAAATGCAACAAGGAGAGTGTATTTCTTCTGCAGCTTGTAAACATTATAATAAAATTGGAATTTCATCTCAAAATATGTTGCTCCATTTTTAATATAATTTTTTAATATGCATCTAATTTAACATTTGAATTAGATTGTATTATTTTTTCTTATAGATTTAAAAAATTCAAATAATTATTTTCCCTCAAATTATATATAATTTTACGTTAAAATAAAGTGATGTATTAAACATAATTAATATATCTTTAATTTTTTTTACAAAAAAATTTTTAATTTTTAAACATCTAATTATCATTGGATTATATTATTTATGCAATTTGTACAACTTTTATTTAATAACCTTTTGTTAAATTCATTTTTCGAATATTCTTTATCGTAATTAGTTAGCAAATGTATTTTTTTATCAATGCAAATTTGTATTAAATTTTCTAAAAATATTATCAAGACCTTGTACTTTATTTTAATCATGATATGTAGAAATGACATGGGACTGATTTTATTTTTAATTAAATATCTTAATACAGTTACTTAATATAGAGGTTCTATTTTAAACGTAACACGTTTAAAACAATAATAATCACCGTATGGAAATATATTAGTTACTCGTTGGTAAAACCAATGCTTTATTTATTGAAATCTATTTGCATGTGTTTTAAAAGAATATTTTAAGTATGAATCTTTTAAATTACAAAAGAAGCTTACATATAAAATATGTTAATAAATAAATAAAAACAGAAAAATAATATGTATTATCAAATGTAAACTGTAATGTTTCCAGGTATAAATTATTAAAGGGTAAATGCATACGTTATGTTGCAATAATTAATGCTGTAAATGTTTGTAAAAAAATTGCATTAATTATTTTTTTTTTAGAAGTTTATATGCTAATTTGTAAGAAATAATCAATAATAAAATTTTCAAAAGAATTCCGAAACTTTTACTGTAGCTTACAAGGATATTAGAATGCAGCTTAGATTGACTAATTTCATTTAATTCTTGAATCTGTTTTCTAGATTATGTTTAAACTTTAATATATAAATTCATTTAGGAATGTTTATAGTTATGCGGAAGTAATTCTAAAGGTATATAAAAATATCTAATTAAAATATATGTTTATAAGAAGAATAATAGATTTGAAGTAGCCGATTACGGTACTTTTATTGAGCATGAAAAGTTGAATCCATAAGTATTAGGTATTCGAGGAAAAGTTCCAGGTATGCATTAGTTGCCTAGAATAGTGAAACGCCCAGAAATAGGTATTTATACCTAGAGCCTTAGCCTTTACTAAATAGGAATTAAACAATCGAGTTACAATATAATTAAACGAGGATTTATCCTATAATATTTTTATACAAATATATTCACATACAAATGCACTTATACACATGAATAGATTTAATAGTATCTAAATATATAAATTGCATAAAGAAACAAAATAAACATTTTCAGAATGGTTTTTAAAATACAGTGAAGTCTAAATCTTTAAAATATTATATAGAAAGTTTTTTTTTTATATTATTATTTAATTTTTTTTATTATTATTATTATTATTATTACATCCTCCTTGAATATTTGGATCAAAAGACTTTTTATTAATGTTTTTAAAAGTATTTGAAGAGTATTATTTTAAGTATAGTTCAAATATATTGCTAATAGTTATAAATTTTTCTAGTTGAACCTTATTTATAAGTTAAATATTATTTAATAAAGTCGAAGGTTACTTCGTATTTCATTAAAAACTACCATTTAGTGGTACTAGATTGTTTTTAAAGTTAAGAAAAATAAATACATACCTATTTTTAGACATTTGTTGCCTATTATTATTTACTCTAGTATTCTTAGAAGAATTTGTCGGGCGTCTTTGTCGCTTATTACGATTATCAATATTGTATCTAATATTTTCATTATCTCTTTGTAATAATTGAAAATTATTTGCAAAATTTTTGGCAGGCAGTAAATGTGCTTGATAACAATTAGATTTTGTTTTATCATAAGGAATTGCATAAACGGGTGATTGATTGTTTAATGTTTTGTATAAATTTGTTGTTGGCGTTGCATTAAAAATAACATCATTGCGGTCGGAATTGTCAAAAGCATAATCAAATGGAGCTGGCCATGCTCGGATTTCTTTACTCTCAGTCTCTTGTAATAATCTCTCTGTTGTTAATTTGACTCGCGACGTGGATTCTATTGGGCGAATAGTAGTTTGACGTTGATAGAGAGTGGTGTAGCTAGGAGTATTTGTGTATTTTCCTGTATCTTCGAATCGTGCAGTAATTGGTTGATTATAGGATGTTAATCTTGCTATGATACTTTGGTCGTAATCTACCGGTTCATGCTGATATTTGACCGTCGAATGGTAATTTGTCGGAACTTCTGAAATTCTTGAAGGCAATAAGCCAGTCGTCACCGATTTCCCATGATTTCTTGCCTCTTCAGATTGTCCATCGATTTTCTTAGTATTGCAATCACAGTTCATTATTTCGGGTTGAACCTTTGTCAAGCTCTTCTTGGATTCATTTGCACTCTTTTCTTGTTTGTGCTTCTTGGTTGATAATCCTTGCGAATAACTTTTTGCGCGATGTTCAATTTTGTCATGATTAATATCATATTCTTCGTATTTATTTTCCGGCAAGCCATACTCATTCTGAATTCGTTTAAAACCTTTTACTAGATCAATATGGTCATAGGGAATGCGCGAGCTTTCGTATTCACGAATTCTGTTAGGATCGTAGATTCCAGTCTCTGGATTTTTGAACATAGTGAAATAGCTGGATACGCGCTCATCTACTTTCCCATTTGGATTTTCCAAGCTTTCCCCATAACTATCACGTAATGTATGATCTGGCTGAGAATTTTCTTGATCATAATTGATGGGCACTGTAAAATAATACTTATTCGGTTCATTTTCTTGACGTTTTTTCTGTTCCTCACTATCGACGTAAACTTTATGATAATCCGAAGACGGTCCATTATTAGAACTTGTATATTTATCGTAATCTTGTGTTACGTATTTATCGGTAACTACTCTATTCTCCTTTGAAATATCGGTTGCCGTTTCCTCGTATCGAGTATAAATCGGTGGTGTATCGGAAACATTAGATTCTTCTTGATAATCGTCATTGTCATTCTCCTCACGATTACGATTGTAATTTTCTTTTTCAGATGATCCAGAATCATCTTCATTATTTTCATTATAATAAGGTTGTTTTTTGGAGATGATTTCATATCGAGCTCTCTTCTCTTCATTATGATCACTAATTTCCTTCTCCCTACTATTGTGGAAGTCATTATTTTCTTCGTCCAGCTCATGCTCGCGATTTCTGTTATTTTCCCTTTTAGAATTTTCTTCCGCTAAAGCCTCGGCATGTGCTTCTTGCTCGGCAGCCAACTTGTAGAGTTGCTCCTCGTGATTCTTCTTCCAGTCGGGCTCATTAACATACATGGTGTGCCTGAATTTTGTATTTGTTATTGGTACTTCTTCGGAAACCTCACTTGGATCATAAATTTCTTTATTCTCTACGCTATAGTTGACAATTTTTTTATTATTTTTATACTCCTTTTCGCTGTTTTTTTCATTCGGCTTTTCGTAACTGTCGTATTCGTAGTTTTTGTCCTTGGGTTCGTGATAAATTTCTTGTTTGTGCTCATATTCTTCACTATGTTGCGACTTGTCGTCCTCTTCCTCGTAGTCTCCTTGATTACCTTCAGTATTCCTATTGCTTTGGTACACCTTTTCCTGATCATTAGCGTATTCGTCTCGATAGTTATTCTGCAGGGATATAGGCAATTGCGGCTGCGATGGGAGCAGGCTCGGTGCTATCGGCAGGGGAATTTTCACGAAGAGCGGCTCGGGCAACGGCTGTTGGGATCGTGGATCTATTTTTGACTTTGGGGCAGATGCCGGCGGTGGTGCCGTAAGGCCCACTGATCCATTCCTGTGGAACAGCTGTTCATACTGAGCGAGGTGATTAACTAGATTGGAGGTGTTGACGTTATTGCCAAAGTTTAGAACTCCCGTGAACCGTAGAGTCTCTCGCTGTCGCGGGGGTAGAGTTGCGGTTGCGGAGGTGGCATTGGATTTCGCCGGGGCCATTGGCATCGGGGCCTTAGGTTGAAGCTTCATCGGCGACATTTGCGACATCGGAGCTGGATTGGCAAGACTCGCCACTTGGAGCGGTGTGACCGTATAGCCGAGCGCTTCCATGAACCCTTGAAGGAGAATACCTAGGGCACGCTTATCACGAGCTGCGTCCCCTGATTTATTAAGCAACAGCATCTGCTGTTCTATTAAATGGACCATTTTGTGGTCGTTTTCATTCGCGTTGTTCTTATGCATTGAGCTCTTGATCTTGCCATCGTACAGTTTGATGTTATTAATAACATCGGCTTCAATGATGGCAAGAACGCAAATAAGGCAGATTAAAGAAAAGAGTTTCATCGTTGCACGATTCTCGTAGTTACACATCGATATCCATGAGCAAATGAACTTTATTCTCGATATTTGTCACATTCTAAAATTCACTTTACAAGTTTATAAATTTTTACTTATGTCGATTCTTTTTCTTGACTTTTGTTGCCTTTTTTTACTTTTCTTATAAAACAAGCTTAAGATTATTATTTTAAATTATAATTATTTCCAGCAATATACGAGTTTTAAAAGAATTATAGCAATCAATAGTACAATTTGTATAATTATAATTATAATTAGATGAAATCACGGTATTCGAGTAAAATCAAATTCACGCCATTATCGAAGACATTATTTTATGTACAAAAATGCATGCATTTTTTGACATATCGATTTATGCATCAAAGCGATAAAAGTACGCACAACGAACTTTTAAAGGTGCCAAAAAAGAGAAAAAAGTTGCAGGGCGGATATGCCGAAGGATGTCGATTAAGTCTGAATTCTGCGCGCGAACTGCCGGTACTGCTCAACCTGTCTGACGTCGTGAAACAATAAGCCTCGCTAGTGGGGCTGATTTTGCATAATAACGGAAAGGACCGCTACGAGTTTCTCTTAAATTGCACGGGCCCACCTGTTGATTAGAGTCAAGTGAAGCGGTACGGCGGCGGCGGCGGCAATGGCAGCGGCGACGACGGCGGCGGTGGTGGTAGCGACCGCCGTACAAAAACTTAATAGTCCCGACGGCTACATTCTCTCCATTGGCGATAATGCGAATATAGATACAACGATAATCTTGGGCTCTTTAACAATCGAACAGATCATAAATTGTTAGTATTAATAAGAAGCTGGTAGCATATCAGGTGCCGTTGCTGATTTGCGTGTTGGCGAGAGCTTGTGCCACGAATTGTATATTGAATTGGCAAATGTGAGCGGCGTACGAATAATGAGAGCATGGAAAAAATTATGAAAAAACGAGCGAAACCACCAGAACGACCTAAATAAGTTAGTTCAATATGAATATAATCCGTGCTGTGCATTATAGATTTTCTCATAAATTTTACTACCAACGAGACTTTGCAATGTCTAAATCATGTCAGGTTTTTTTTTCTATGATTTTTTACACCTATAGTTTGCCAGTTATATGGATTTAAATCGTTGGCAATTATTAAGATATACAATTAAGCTTATGAATATATTCAATCAAAGTATGAAAACAATCGTTTTTATGTTCCATTATTCATTAGTCATCGTAAATCTCGACCTATCTTTGTTTCACTTACATTTACACTATTTACATAAGTTTATTTTAAACTTATTAGCTTTTATTTTTGATAAGTACATAGAATATCAATATATTGTAATTATTATTATTACCATCATCATCAACATTCACATTCGATTTTTAAAGGCAGAGGTAAATTATTTTTAGTTAAATATTCTTATTTTTTTTATCAACCTACAATTATAAATTTAAAAAAACATTAAAACTTTAAAATTAAAATATATATCTATTGTTAAAAACTGTACTGTAATACGGCTAGACCACTTCATTTTCCAGTTTTATAAATAACAGATTAATTGGGATTCGTATATTTTTTAATAACTAATAAAATTAACCTTATTACTTGTAAAAAGAATACAAATAGCTTTTGCACTAAATGTATTAATTTCTATTTAAGATTTCGTATAGTATTTTATATTTGAAAACAATAAAATTTTATTCATTTAAATTAAATATATAGGGCATAATGCAAGGATATTTTCATGTTTATATACAAGTTGATCGTTGAAATAATATTTTATTATACTATCGATAAAAATAACAATTAAAAAATATTACTACGACCAACGAGAGCATTAGAAGTTAAGTTTTAGTTTAAATGGCCAACTATTATTTTATTTTAATATGAAAAATTAAAGATTACTATTTATTATAAAGAATCGATGGAATAGAATTCTTTTTTATTTTTATGATATGAAATTAATTGAGATTTTATTCTCTTCATGTTATATTCTCTATGCAATTTATACATAATGTTTTTATTACAAAAATTGTTGGATCTCAACGATTGTTTACAAAGGATAATGAATTAAAATTAGGTATTAATATAAATTTTAATATAAAGAAAGCCTATCGCGTGAGATCACGTAAAAGTTTAAAATCTCAATTACAATTCATCAAACAATAACTTTACGATATTTTACAGATTATGTCTGAATATTTAATTAACTTATTATACATTAAATATGCGAATGAAAATACTGGTAAATGGAAAAATAAATGATAGAGAAATCGCCGGGACAGATGGTCGCTATTTTTTATTATACATTTTGTCTGCACGGCGTATTTTCTTGCGTGATCCATAGGATTTTTTCAAATTACACAATGTTTCATATTTACTATTTTTACGATAAATTTTAGCGTGACAAGCAACGCATTCAAATATATCTTAGAAATCTAAGACAGTACATTTACTTCTGAAAATTGCTTTCATCAATTTCGTTTCTATGAGTAATTTAATTAAATCGTTAAATTAATTTTTTTTATTGTTTTGTAGCATCAATATGCTAATATAAATTTTGTACTATTTAACATTTTTAGGATTAATATTTGTGTTATCCTAAGCTAACCATAGCACCGAATACGACTAATTACGGATTAGGAATCGAACTTGAAGCAACGAGTAGTTATAATAATAATAATTTCTCTTACTTACAAACTTCTTATTATTACGATTTTGCCGTAGGCTAAGGCTTAATCGGTATAATAATATACGCTCTTTTTCCATTATTCTTTCATTGCGATCGTAGAAATAAGGGAAAGCTTTTTCCCACACCTATTCCATAGCTGAGTGTTTGAGGTATCATCGTCGGCGGAAGCACAAAATATGTACAAATTACTGCACATACAAAGATGCGAGATTGATTAAACAAATAGAAAAAAATAATAAGAGGTTGGAACACAGAGTTCACGGACCGACTTCTGCAGTAATTAATGGCGATTACCTCGTAAATCAAACTGTGGTCTCGGGCTATTGGAGTGTCTAGAAAGGGAGAGCAGTAAACGGTAATCGAGCGCGAAGTTCGACCTTTTTTATTCCCATCATCATCCTGTCGCACCGTCATATTCAACTTTCAATTATTTGCACGAAGCTAGACTGTTCCATAGCTTCGTGGATCTTTTCTTCCCTTTGCAATGAACAGAGTTTGTGCGTGTCTAGCTCAGTTTGTGAAATTTTAACGGAAGTGTAAGGTTTGTCAGTATCATTATTTTTTTCATCTTTTTTTTAGTGCTGAAGCACTATAAGAAGCATTTATATCCGAAAATTTGAATCTTCTAAAATCTATGTTATCTCGTGTCAGATCGGCTGTATATAGCGACGAATTTATGTCGATGAAAGTATTTCTGGTATTGTATAATCCGCTGATGGACATGTCTCGATTAACTATTAAGCCCTCCCCTTAGACGTTAATAAATCAAGTTTTCTTTAACGGAAGCTATGGTTACAATGATTCGTTCCTGAATAAGCGTAATATCGAGACTGCTGTTTTTAAAGAATGATTATCAATCTTTCAGAAATCTCAATGATTAAAAAGTATAAGTCGAGCCTTTCTATTCATTGTACTCCGAAAGAATTGAAATTTACATGGTCTACTGTTAGTTAATATGTCATGTTACATAAATTAATCTTACATTTTAATCACAAAATACTTAGCCTTTCATGATAATATTTAAAAATGAGTAAATAAATATTTTAAAATAAATTATTAAATATTATTTATTTAATAATTAATACATTTATTTATCAATCATTTAAAAATATATATTTCCACGAAGTTATAACCTATTGTTATGATAATATTACCGTTATATTTGAGTATATTTCATTAATTATTAGAAGATAACATGAAATTATGAAGTTAGGTAGATAATAATAGTGTTTCGTACGATAGTACTATTAAGCAGTCAAAACGTCATAATGATAAATTTATAATATAATTTAAGCATATTTAAATACTTCTATAAACTATATTATATGTTACTGTTAATATAATAAACATAATACGTAATAAAATACTTAATAACCAAAGTAATATGAAAATATGATTATGGTATTATAGATTACAATGATCTTCTATTATTTTAAAATCAATATTTCTAAAAATGCGTGCATTACTGAGTCTATAAAGTGTATTTGGAATTGTACATTATTATGTCCGTTATTGCTTTTACTAGTACATCTATTTATTTTTAGTCAGTGAAAGTAGGTATTTATGATTTTATTGTTTCAATCGTCATTTTAATTTTTTAATCGAACGATTTATAATTTTTAATTCTTTATATTTTTATTTTTAAAATTAATTTTAATACCGGCTTCACTACTTTGTTTCAAAGACGCTAATTTCAAAAAAATATGTTAATAATTGTTGAATTTTTAATATCTTTTTTTACGAAGAAAACCACAAATTAACTAAGTTATAGTTCCTGTATTCAACTTTAATTGTTTTAATAGCGCAATAGAATTTTGTATCGATATGCCTAAAAATAATTGTATTGCATACATTCACTCGTTAATACATTGCATGAAAAAATTAAGATGTCCAAATTTTATTTTGTTAACCGCGAGATCAATTTTATATGAACGATTTCATTTAAAATAATTGAACACAGTCGTTTTAATTAATATTTCATGTGCAAATTGTAATCATATTTAATAAATGTAATCGAATTTTCATTTGATACATTTTTATTATTGGTAAATGGTTTATAAACGTGATTCTAAGAGCTTTTATACACAATTTATTTATTAAAAAAAATTCATAATTACACAAATTTGTAGATAAAAATAGTTCTATTGAGAAACGAACTTGGGAAGTTTGTATATTTTTGTAATATAAATTTTTTCTATAAATCGACATGCAAGGAAAATGATATAAAATTGTACTTTGCAAATTCTAATTTAAGAATATGCATTTCGATAAAGTTTCAATAGTATTAATATAATTTGAGACTTGGACATGTAAGATTTATATGTTTTAAAAATCTTCAATATTTTCAATTCTTTACACATAATTTAATGTGTGGAAAAATGGTGGACAAATAACTTTATGGAAAAAATTATTGAACAAATATTTACTTAGATTTAATACAAATTCAAATTTATATAAAGTATAAAAAGAGTAAATAATTTTGTTGTTGTAGAAAGAGTTCTAATAGTTCTTTTACAAATTATTTCTTAGATAAACATTTCTACTAATTATATATATATATATATATATATATATATTTTAAAGCTACTATTTTTTAGTTTGACTAATGTAAGATCAAAAATATCAAAAATTGTGTAGCACAGAAGAATTTATTAGAGAAATGAAAATTGAATTTATTAATTTGATGATGGAATAATATATATTGGAGAGAATCTAAGTTGTTTTCCTACTTTCGCATTGAAAAGGAGATCTTGTTTATACTTCAAATTAAAGCTTGTTGTTACTACTTTCAATTTTTTTTTTTTTTTTTTTTTTTTTTTTATTATTATTATAAAAACTCTTTAGAATGTTTAATGTCACCGAATTAGGAACTCGTTAAACAGTAATTATCTAAAAACGAAGGCCAATTAGAAAATGTTATATAGCATGAATGTTTACTATTCACATTATAAAACAGTGGTAGTAATTTCATTTTAAAAAAATACATTATATAGTTTGCAGATGCGTAAGGGTGACAATTTCTTTTGTGGTATAAAGTCTAGGATGTAAAATACAAATCATAATTAGTGCCACTTCATTATTATGACTTTTAGAATTTACAGTATTATAATATTGATTGTATTATAGATAATAAATGTAATCTATGTAATTCGGATAAACGTACGATCTAAGTATCGTCGATGGCTAATTGGAAATTAATTTGTTTTATTATCTATAATATATGTATGATTATATGTAATTTATACCCATTGACAAAACGCAAAAGTATGAACATTTAATTGAATGCATAAAATTCAAATGCTACCTCACAACGAGTATGAATTGATTTTACGTAGAAATATCATTTTTGATTTTTGTATAATATTGGTATTATTGTAATCCTAATGTGTATGTATAAACAAACGAAAAAAAAATGCAAAATTTATATTATAATTTGAACGATATAGTCCTTATGATATAGTTTTTAATTGTTATAAGTGAAGTACGCATAATGATATTTTAAAATGTTCTATTTTCTACTTTCAAATATCCTCGTTGTTCTTATTTAAATGTATAGAAAAAAAATCATTGTATATAGTAAGTTGCAATTCCGTCAATGTAATTTGCATCTGGCTTGATCCAATATTTATCCAATGAGATGTAATCAAGATATAAACAAGATAGAGCATATATTACGATGCTCGCTTAAAACGGCTAGTTAATAATGAAAATTATTGAATTGCAAAAGAGACCAGCCAGGGATGTCGTAACGAGCGAGATGGATGACATGCCAATAAATCCACTCCATTTCCGTGTTCGCTTTTTTCCACGAAGTGACGAGGGAACTAGAAAGTCAGGAAGAGCTCGGATTTTTCTGCCAACATGCAAATTAAATGTCCGCTAAAGAAATTAGCGAATATTTTATTCATTGAATTCTCGGTGCCTGACATATTATCAGATGAAGCTAACAAGTAATAGTGATAATCACGTAAACAATGAGGGGGGCGTACGTCAGTATCATAATAAGGCGATTCGACCGGTGGCTAATTTATTTTGCGATCCACTTGTTACCGCACAGTTCGATGCCCACTGATTTCTCCGCGCAAGCCAGGATAATATATATATATATATATATTGTTCCCGTTTTTAGTATCTCTTTTCACTTAACTATTCTTACCAATTTATGGCCCATGTGGAGCATTGAGAACGTGTTTATCGTTACGCGATCGTAACTTTTTGTATGTAATCAAAGGCTGGTCGATGAGTATGCTGTTGCTTTTTTTTCTTCTTTTTTTCTAAGCTGGCTATACCTTAAGAGCAAGACGAGTTCCATTTTTCATTGCAGTTTAAAATCCGCAGCTAGTTTTCAGCAGGTAGCAACAACGCTTCAGATGCAGTATGTCGTTTGCAATTCGGTTATGGGAGTGGCTGAGAGACCAAGTTGTTACATCCGGGCATGTGTGCTTTAATGTTGCTAAGTCGGGAACTGGCTATAATGATATATATAAACGAGTTAGTCGGAGAAGTTAGTATAAAAGTATAGCACACGTCTGGCAAATCTATCAGTTGCATTGGTCTCGTTTAATAATAAAATGAAGTTGCTGGTAAGCCGAGTTTGTCGCAAATAAAGAAAATAAATATCTCAGGGGCTATTTGCTATTTTATATTCAGCTTATTAAGATAATTCGATTTGAGGGGATAATTAGTTACATACACGGAGTAAAGTTTATTATGACATTTTATTAGATTTGATAGCGCATGTTTAATCATTCTTACATACTATCATTATCATTTCATGAATATTCTTTCATTTTAAATGCAATTTAATGAAATAACAAAAGTCTTTTCATACCACTCATTTTGTATTCATTACTTTCATTACTCTTCATATATTATTGTTTTAATACGCGCCGATGATATGCCCTTTTCAATTGAAACCGCGATTATTTATTGGACGCGCTTTTCAGATAATTTTTTCAGTGGTTGGTTTAGCCGTGGGTCAGGCTGTCATGTCAAAATCAGTCGAGGTAAACGATCTTCGCGGCGAGCAGAGTGTATTACAAGAAAATCTTGAAAGTGAAGAAACAATCGACGAAAGAAAACTTGACAAGAGAAGCTATGGTTGGAGTCCTTGGGTTTGGCCATCATATGGTCATGGTATTGGTCTCAGTATTGGTCATGGCCATGGTTGGCCTTCGTAAGTTTATTTCTTTAATTTAAAAGTAATTTTATTTAATTGCAATCGTTGGCGAATGTAACATTGGTTTTATTTTCATATTGCTATTATTGAAATTTGAACTATATAAAATAGTATTAATTATAATACGATTAATAATCACTGAATTTATATTAATTTTTATTAGTACTTTTTTTTTGAAGATAAAGACATTTTTGAAAAATTATTTTTTTACGCTTAATTTACGGTTAAAAAATTGTTAGACGGCTAATATGAATTAGTTTACGGTTGACAACAAAAAAATGATTGGTTAAGAAATTGTACAGTTCAAAAATAAACAATAAAGTTTTTTTTACTTATTATTTGTATATTTTCTTTTCAAAATAGTTTTAATCTAATTATAGTTGTACCGTAGTCGTTTAATATTAAGTTTATATAAAAATAGTATTTCATCGTATTAGATTATATTTAAAATTTATATTACAGAATCTATGATCATGTTAATAATTAAATAATTATTATTCCATACTATATTTGTAGTAATTCATTTAAAATCTGAAAAAATTATCAAAAATAATTTTTTTTTTTTTTTTTTTTTTTTTTTTTATATTTAAAATAATTTTTTTTTTTTTTTTTTTTTTTTTGTTGACATTTAATATGTGAATGTAATGGAATTTAATTATTGTAAAAATAAATATTTCTTATAAGCGATGTATAATCGATTAGTTTAGCCATCAAATTTAAAAATAAATATAACGTGTTTATTTTAAATATTAGTCTCATGTGTAGTTAGTTACATGGATAATACATTCATTTTTTTTTCTTTTCCGACAGAATTTTACATTAATTTAATTTCAATGAGGCCTTACAAATAATAATTATTTTTGTATTTATTGATTGCAAACATTTTCCAAAATAAGCTAAAAATAGTTACGTTTATGACAAAATCTAAAGTTTTCTTTCCATTCTTTCAAATTGTTAGTATTTATGTGAAATGTTATATATATATATATAATTTTTATTATGTTATTCTGCATTTTTATACATTTATCAATTATTTGTTTGCTTATAATGTGCACAAAATTGAAAATACTCTTGTGGCTTTAAATTAATGTCTTTGAGTTTAGTTTAGGCTTTGAGTTCTTTACAGTCTTTGTGTTTTTTTTTCTCCGAAGCAATCGACTGACTAATTGTGTAACGAGACGAGAACATTCATATTATATTATTGAATAAGAAATTTTATTTTAATCGAAGTAGAAATTTAGATTTTTGCTAAAAATATCATTTTTTTTTTAACTGAGATAAGTGGAATATTTCATGTGAATAATCAAAATTTTACTGTGTTTTTACAACAGATAGTTGCTTTTTAAAAGATTGTATCTGTAAATTGTTGATACATAGAATTATTTATTAGATTATAAAAGTTAAATTTTGAATTAGCTCATTTGATTCTTAATGATCATTTTGAATATATCGTTTTACAATATATGCATTATATTGAAATGTAATGACAAGCTCATAATACTTATAAGAAAATACATCTGTTAGAAGTTTTCGTATTTTTACGCAATACCGAGGTATCCATTTCATTATATTAAGAATAATCGAATATCGGCAGAATACAATCTCATTGCTTTATCTTATTGTTGTAAATGTTGTTTCCATCAATAAATTGTCAATGATACAATTGTCAATTATTTAAACGTTATCTATATGGTTGAATATGATTACGATCGAGATTATTATGATTATTAATTTAGTGTGGCATAGTTGGTCGCGCAATAAAATAATCCCAGCGAAATGTCGGGGATAGTCATTCGAGCTTAAATGTTGCCGTTTAAATTGACATTGAGCCTCGATGTCAATGGCTAAAAAATAGCACAGATCTTGCAATTAGTGCATTATCTTAAAGGGAGTAATGAGCTTGGGATGGTTAAACGATTAAAATGTGTGTAGCCACGGCTGGTCGGCGGGACATGGGCTAAGCGGTTGGAGCGCCGGTCACGGTCTACACAGTGGCTGGACTCTGGGACACGGGTTGGGCGGCTGGAATTCAGGTCACGGGTTGCATGGTGGTTGGAGTCTGGGCTGGCCTCTTTATTACGGCGGACACGGGGGATGGCATTCTAGTGGACACGAAGGCTGGCATAGCAAGTGGTGAGTGGTCGGTGAAGCGCAAGGAACGCGTCAACGAGAAGGTGAACGAGCCGCTGCAGCCGCGAGTCAAATCGATTGTCGTCTGGACCTCGGCAAAGCGCAGATTTCCGATCGTCCCTTCGCCATACCTTTGTTACACCTTTTCTCATTGTCTTTCCTCTCATCTTAGGTATTGTACCGAGTAGCTTTCATGAGTTAATTTACGGCGCTCGGACAACGATGTAACATTACATATTCAACCACACATATGCATATACATATATATATATATATATATATATATATATATATATATGTATATATATGTATGTATATATATATATGCACGTGGGCGCATGTGTGTGCGTGCATGTGCGTACGCGCCTGCTAATGTTAACGATTTATCAAACATTTAATAAAGCCTAATTGGTGATTTACTATGATTTCCTGACTTTATTTTCATAAATCATTTCTTTTTTCCTTATTTCTTTTTATTTCTTTTTATTAGTCAGAATACAGTCTCTTTAAAGTTTAGCGAAAATATATCGAGGCCATTATGAAATTGATGCAATTTTTATGGCACAACTTAAAGAAATCCACTAGTCGTTAAAAACCATTTCAATTTGAATTTAAATGTAAATATTGTTCATCGAGTACAAAAGTTATTATTGCATAAAATTACGTTGCTGCTATGGGCAATTTCTACTATTTATACCAAATCTCAATAGTTATTCACGTAATAAATATTTCTTTGTTTAAACAATAATAAACTATTAAAATCATTACAGAATAATTATTAAAAATATTCTCATAATCTTATATGAAGTAGTTATTTTAATTTTTCAAAAGCAGATTGATCGTATTTAAGAAATATATCTTTCAATTTGTGTCTTCGAAAGAAATTTCTACAAATTATTTATTATACAATTGCATTTCTGAATTTGGAATAATCCAGAGTTTGATATTATTAACAGTTGGTTCTCTTGTTGTCAACTATATGTTAACATTATGCTGAATTTATGACGGATGCCACATTATCATTGTTGCTGTGACCTCAATTTGTCTAAATTATAGGTTAGGGTCACATTTTTACAAAACAGCTATTAAATTTTATTTTCATTTGGTTTAAGACAAGTTTCCATACTTTGTTTATATTAAAAAGCATTTCAAGAATTGGCATGTGAAACAATTAACATTCATTATTAATACATTAACACATTTTAAAAGAAGGTTTTAATTGTTTTATTACACATTTTATTTATATGCATAATTTTAATATATTCTAATTCAAATCGGCAAACATTAAAATAGTTTTATTTATATTAAGGTAAACTATTGAACTATTAAACTATTGTATTTAAGCATCATTAATAGATTGATCGTAATAATTATAGACATTATTTATCTGAAAAATAGGATTTTAGTTTTCTTAAATAAAAAGTTTAATTTTTTAATTCTGTTATAGTTAATAATTTCAAAAATATATTCCGTAATATCAGATTACATAATTATTTTCAATTTTAGATTTTGTACATTCTAATCAATTCTACTTCGAAAATATCATTTTTGTAAAATAACAGTATATAAAGCCATTTGGGTATAATATATATTATATAAATTTGTATTACATGCAATGTAAATTTATTGTTTATAAATAATGTTTAAACGACTTAAATATATTTCTGCAACAAATATATTTCTTATTTCAAACACGACAAGTAAATTAATATTTATGGTATATAATAAAATAGTATAACAATAAAGTGTTACATTTAATAATACATTAATTAGGACTTTTAAATACATTTGAGTGTTCTTTTGAATGAAATATTTTTTTTATAATCTTATATTCAATAATTGGCTTAGTCTTTTTATAAACGGATAACAAGGTATTTTAAGATTATTACAGTATTTAATACAAAAATACAATATAGTTTTACCTAGAAAATTGTTTGGTTCCAAGAAATATTACGTGGTAGTTGGTAATATTGCAAAATCTCATGTTTCGAATATTAACAATTAATTGTCAATTAATCAAGTCTTTTACTTTTAGCCATTCTTAATAATATTATACAATGATGGTTTAATCTATTTATCGCTTTAAAGATAATTACAAAATAAGATTTAGTGATATCTATATATATATATATATATATATATATATATATATATATTTTGTTTTTTTATTCAATGTTAAATATTTAACATTTTTTTTTTGTTCCATAAATATCATACATACCTATGTGCGCATTAATGCAGCACAATTTTCAAAATACATAAACATTATGTTTTATTCGTTTTATAATGCATTGTCTTTAGTTGGAGCATGGCATATAGTAAGCTATTAATATAGTACTTCGAATTATATAAAATTCTTGATAATATACAGGTTCCGAGAATTAGGAAGACATAAAGTAATATTGAAAATACATTTATAGGTACATTTATCGTAGGAATAGTCCCGATAATGACCAAGTTAAATTTACTAGTAAATATCGAATGCTAAAGTATATAGTCTTAGGAAGTCCTTGATATTAACAAATGAGAAATTTATATATTTGTATCTTACAGGATTATCATAATGAATATTTTTTAACCTTCTTATCATATTCATATTTTTTTATCGCAATATGACGTAATAGTATAAAAAAAGAGTATCTACTCCTTTTTTTTTCATTTTCATAATATAAAATTAATGTTTGTTAATTATACTTAACATTAAAATTTTAAGTAAAATTTCCAATTTTGATTCTATAGTTTAGTAAATAATAAGCCTCACTTTAAAAATGCTCCTTATCTATTGGTTTCATTCATAAGATTGTTTTCTAATCAGTAATTTATGAATATATTTTGTCTGCTGAGAATTCTAATTCCAAATTCACAATATCTTGTTATTTTTGTGTCGACATCTATCGGATTTTCTATAGGGCTCTTTTGTACCTGCCCTGTCTGTAAAATCATTCGATCATTCATTCGACTTTTCTACTTCGATACTTTGACGTCAGGTGGCCATGATTTAGTTGTTCTGATGGGCGTGGCGCGTGTGTTTAGTTGAAATTGTCATATTTCGCACTGCTGGAAACAAAGGGAGTTCTGCATTATCGATATTACGGGTAGCTAATGCGATAGGTGTCCTATAGAGGGAGTTTTTTCCGGTCGAAAATTTTGGACTCATTCGAAGGCAATATTGTAAAATAATGGTTTTATATATTTATTATTATCGTTAATGGATATGGGTAATTATAATGAATTCATCTAATGAAGCAAACAGTAAATGCATGATTGTAAGATATTCAAGATCATAATATACTCATGCAATTAGTAGATTTCTAGAAGTGCCAATTAATTTAACATTAATTTAATATTGTAGCGTGGGATGAAAAATGAATGAAATAGAAATATTTTTACTTAGTTTTATTTATGTAGAAAAGGCTGATTAAAATGATTAATTATAATAGTAATTTTAGACAATTAATTTGAAAGTCATAGAACTTCAATTAATTATATAATCACACATGTACCTAATACTTTAATATTTATCAAAAAATTAACTATATATATACATATTTTAAATTAAAAATAACAATTTATTAATTGCTCAATATTTTAAGTTTCAACTTACTTGAATACTGCTAATTTTATTAAAAAATACGAAAAGGAATTACGCAGATTACAATATTTCAGTTATTTTTTTTTTTACATACTATTTAAGACCTTTTTCAGGTATATATAATTAGAATGTTTGTCATGAAAAAAAACTGCAACTGTCAAATAATTCGATTACAACTGAAATTGATAATATGCTTCAAACGCAATATTGTAGATACAAATCATTAAAGCTTACAAAATTGATATAAAAGAAGATGAAAAGAAAGTAACTAATGCTTGAGTTTGATTTAAGATTCATTAAATTAGAATTAGTAAATGTCGTATTAATATTAGTAAATGTCGAATTAGTATTAGTATTAGTAAATGATAGTAATAGATTGAGTTATATATGAAAAATTCAGCATCCCATAATATGTGGCAGTTAGTTGTAATAGTTTATAATCCAAATACTTATACTTGAGTTTATAATCCAAATCGATTTAAAATAGAAACTTTCTGTACAATTGAACATTTTTATTCAAGTTTTATTTTACAGTTATTCGAATATAATACATTACCAGAAATAATTATTCAAAGTTAATTTATGTATAAATAAATAAATAAATAAACAAATATTTATATATATATATATATATATATATATATATATATATCTATATATGTTGAAATGATCAACAGTTTATCAAGTATCAGAATATAAAAATGAAGTTATAATTAAAATTTGGGGGATCGATGACTTGAGAGAATTTGATTATCATTAATTTTATCGGTAATACTAAATTTGAATTTGTTCATGTTTGGAGAGACGATGACATAAATGCGAGTGAAAATGGAATTTTAATGATCCGCAAGCTTATCGACACGATTTCGCACGTCGTTCGCTTGAATCACCATAGCCCACAGCTTAGTCTTTCATCTCGCTCTAGATGTCAAAACAAAATGATTAGTTTCATTGAAAAGTGGACATTAATGTAAATAAAGTGGCCAGACTTTGAGGGGTGAACAGCCCAGCCCTTAGAGATGAGCGGGTTGGCTGACACCTTTGCGGTTCGACTGGACACTGTAGGGGTCAGCATCCCCTCGAATTCGTTTCTCTCACCTGGACCAGTTCCGCGGCACACGAGGCGGAAAAAGGGATAATGGGGAGAGGATGATGTCGTGGCACGCGCGTAATAGCTGACAGGTTTTTCTCTCCCTGCGGCCTCAACTCCTCGTTGTCCTTCATCCTTATGTCCCGGTTCGGGATCCCGATCACTGACCCTCGTGATCTCGCGCTTCTTGTCTTTTCTCGTTCCCAATTGACGTGGCGCGAGCTCTAAATCAGGTGAAAACTGGTCCAGTAAGCAGCGGTTGTTGGCGTGATTCTGGAGGCGAAAACTAGATCAGCGTCCACAGGTGCATTCGAGGATGAGTACGACCAGTTTACTAATACCCTTGCGCACCTGGCACCATTTATTCCTCTGTATTCCTGTTAATAATTAAAGTTCATTCAACATGTAGTTTGTTTAGTATAGAGTGTAATGGAATTTTTAAAAAATGTACCATTAAATTATTAAATACAGCATAAATTGTCGCATTGAAGCTTTTATAAAATAAATTTTGAATTATATAATTATCGTCTAATTAAAAATCTCCGTACAAAGCTTAGGTCATAAACTGTCCATCGAGAAGTATACTTT